CGACAGTAACCATTCCCACCAAATAGCTATCGTCGCTGAGGACTGGGAGCTGATCGTAACCGTGTCTTCGCATTATACTAATCGCTTCAAAGCATTTAGTATTGGGTGCGACGCTCTCCACATTCATTCCCTTCACTAAGTTATGGATCGGTTCGTTCCAAAACCATGGCTTCTGCTCCTCTTCCTCCTCAGCATTTGTGGCAAAGTTTCTCTCATTCATCCAATTGTCGTCCAAAAACTTTGTCATATAATTGCGAACTCCATCCGGAAGTATGACAACACATCTCTGGTCTTCCCGGAGCTCTTTTGCGGCTTTCAGTGCGGCCACAACTGCAGTGCCCGAAGAACCGCCACAGAGTAGCCCTTCCTCTGCGATGAGCTTTCGAGACATTTCTAGCGATGATTTGTCTTCAGATTTATACCACTTGTCGACAACACTTCGATCCAAAACTGTAGGAATGAAATCATATCCAATGCCTTCCACTTCATAGAAAGTTGTGTCCGATTTATTAATGTCTTCGGGCAGAGCCAGTATTGATCCGAACGGATCAACTCCAACAACCTTACAGTCGGGCAACACTTCTTTGAGTTTACGTCCGATGCCAGTGACTGTACCTCCAGTGCCGGCGCCCACGACAACCATATCCACGTTATGGTCCGTCTGGTGGAGTATCTCTTCAGCGGTGTTGTCGTAATGGGCCAAAGGGTTGTTCACATTGCGGTATTGATCCAAAATTACAGAGTTCTTGATCTGTTGGCAGAGCTTTTGCGCCACTTTGATGTGACTGTGAGGCGAGTCATAACTGGCCGAAGTCGGTGTGCGGACAATCTTAGCGCCCAACGCGTGCAATACATTCACCTTCTCGTTCGACATCTTCTCCGGCATAACAATTATGCATTTGTATCCCTTGACGGCCGCCGCCAACGCCAACCCAATACCAGTGTTACCACTCGTGGGCTCAATGATAGTGAATCCCTCCCGAAGTACACCATCGCGTTC